TTCAAACTCCTATATAGTGGGTTTCCTAAGAATATGGAACATCAAGATCTGATACTACTTTGAGGAAGATTAACTGCGGTCGTTTTTAATAGTTAAATTATATTTTCAAACCAAGAGAATGGTGTCTCTGACTCCTCAAATTTGGAATTTTCAATTTTAATATCACATAGTTTTTTATTTGGTAAATAATATTGCACAGTTAATACTCACTGAAAAAGCCGATGAAAAATATTCTCCGAATAAAAAAATTTAAAATATATAGCTTCTCTTAGCTTGCTCCTTACGCCCTCTCCTGAAATGATAAATGTATTCTGTTAAAATTTCATTTTAATAAAAAATCTCTTTTCAATCTTTTTACTTCTTTTTTTTTTTAATTTTTAAAGTTTATTATTTAATTTTTTTAATTTATTATTATTTTTTATTTATATAATATATCAAATAATAAAAATTTCAAAGTAAAAGGGAAAAGGAATAGAATTGTGGATATTTTTCTTGGAAAAGGGAATTAGCAAGAGAGAGAATGAGATGGATAGCTAGGGGCTATTGCAGGCCAAGGATTAGAGTTTGCAGAAGGTAAGACAAGGAAAAGGAAGAGAAAAAAATGGAAAATTTTTTTGTACATGCAAGAAAACAATCTCTGTTCAAAATCATCCTATAGTGTCCACGAACCCATTCCTGCTTCAACAAAACCAAGAGTAACCAAATCATCCAAACCTAGAAATTTTTGTAGATTGAAATTCTAAACTGGTTTGAAATTCATACAAATTAAAACCAAATGAAAAGATTAGCGCCTTTCTCCGATTGTGCAGAGAAGAAGAGAGGGGAATGAAAACTTGAGTTTGGACCATACCTAACCTAACTATAAGGCAGCCGCGGTGTTTGCCTTTTGGGTTTCCAACAACCCTAACCATGGAGAATATGCCAAGCAAAATCTCTCCACTTAAGAGTTTCAAAATCAAATCTTTTGAGTCATATCTCCTTCTACCACTTCCTTTTTTGCCAGAAACTAGAAACAAAATAGAATTTCCCTACAGATTTGGATTCTTTGAGAAGAATTCATAAGTCATTCAAACAGAAAAAAAAAAAGAAAAAAGAAAAAAGAAAAAAGAAAAAAAGATGGAAGTAGGGGACCAATCACCACTCCCTCTCATTTCAAAATGGCAATTGGAGGCAAGAACAGAGCCAAAGTGAAGTCGATGTAGTCACCATCGCCGCCATAAACACATTTAAAGCAATCTGACTTAATGGTGAAGCACATGGTTGGAGAAGAGGGAGAGCTAATTGTTTGGTTTAGGTTATTTACTTTGCCGAAGCTGCGGAGATTAAAATCAAATCTCAGGAACCTTAAGTCCTACACAAGAAAAAAAGTGTTTGAAAGGGGTTGTGCAGGTTAATTAGTTAGGGTTTGTAAAGCGCCAAGGAAAGGAAGAGGAAGGAGAATGGGACCCAGATCTAGCTACCTTTCTCAGCCTTGTGCGAAGTTGCAACTACATCTAGTCCAAGTGAAGTTTGAGTGGAGAGGAAAGGAGAGGAAGAGGGAGAAATCCTGGTTCAAAGGAAGAAGAGAAAGAGAAGATTAAACCCCTAAGGTTGGCGAACAAGGATCTGGAAGAAGATGAACATCAAAAGAGGTTGGAGATGAGAAAAGGAAGGGGAAGCGAAAGGAAAAGAAAAGAAATTAAGGCCTAGTTGAAGATGATTGTAACAATGTAGTTTTAAATTTATAATTAGTTTGAGATGTTTTAACTTTTGATTGGGAATTATGTGTCAAGTCAATTTGCCATGCTGTCAATCCTAAGTGTATAAATATTTTAAAGGTCATTCTTTTCCTGTTCGGCAACGGCACACATTAGTAGATTTTTAATAGAGGGAATAATTTGGAGGGAGAATTTGAAATTTTAGTGATTATATTAGAGATTTTTTTAGTTAAAAAATTAATTTAAGGGTCTACATAATAGTTAAAAGATTAAATTGGGAGTTTAATTTATTGTCTTTAAATAATTGATTAAGGTGTTTGAAAGTAAAAAAAAAAAATCTTTTATTTTGAAATGAAAGAAATAACATATAATTTAATTTTAAACTAATATTATCTTTTCTATTAATACTCTCAGCTAACAAACAGAATAATATTGGATCAATAAATTGAAGTGATATTCTAATTCATAAGGTGTAGGTAAGGCTACGTCAAATCTCCATGTGGAATCCAATTTTATAAGGTTTAGCGTAATAAAAAAATATTTTTAAGTTACATTATATATTAAAAGTATAGTTTGATTATCAAAATTATTAAAATACCTTTAATTAAACTTTTTTTAATACTTATTTATTAAAAGTAACTTAGTAATTTTAGTATCTATGACTATATTTTTAATATATAGTTTAAACTGAAATACATCAAGCTCTTAATGTAATACTATTATTCCTTCTGACGCGGCGCAAACGTGTTTTTGTTTGTCAGCCTGTTCTGATTCTTCTGGATATGTTCTTCCGAGAGAAGTTAATGGGACTGCCAGAACAAAACTACTGGGCGCTGACCATGCTGCAGAACAATAAGGAGAATATTGATCTAGAAAAGGTGAGAGTAATACAGTACTGCTCTCCTGAGTTGAAGCCGTGGAGGTTCACTCCCAAAGGTGTGAAGGTGGACGTTGAACTTGTGAAGAAGCTTAAGAATAAGTGGCTGTGTATTTTCAATGACGGGTCGCTTAAACCTAATGAGAAACAAAAAGCACTGGAGAAGAAGACAGAAATCAAGTCAAAAAGAGTAGCACTCGGGCCACTTGAGAACTCCGCGGGCCAAAAGAGATCAAAGAAGATGTAGAAAAACGCCCACGGAAAAATTAAGAAATAAATGTTGATGGGCATCTTGTTTCCTAGCCAAACTGTGAGGTTAGGCATTGTGGATTGGATTTATCAATTACTAGTAACTATTTTTCTTTTTCTTCTTTCCTTGGAAACAAACAGAACCGAAAAGCCCCCTTCATCTTTGAGTGACCTTTGCATTGTTTATCTCTTCAACAATTGGGTATTTGACTTTATTTTTTATTTGATTTCAATAAAATTAGGTTGAATTAGGAAGGAGAAATTGGAGAGTAATGTATGAAGGTTACCAATAGAGAATCCTTTCAATTTCCGACGTAAAGCAGTGGAGCTACCCTGCCGGACGAACAAGATTTGTAATCTATTTTCCGATGACCGTAGAAACTTTATTTTCGTTGCACTAGATTTGTGACGTTGTCAAGGTGTAGATCTGACTGGAGCACCACCTTGCCGGACCAACGTCAAGAAAAGGAGATGGGAAGCCATCGGCGAGTGAATGGAGTCGGGAAGAAATTGGGGAGAAAAAGGGTTAAGGTTGGTAAATTTAATCCAATTCATTCATATCCATTGGGATGGTGGGATTCAATTTATCCCTTGGGATGGGATTAGATAAATCATTGAATAATGTTTATCCAATCTCAAGTACTTCCCAAACACGGGATTAAGTTAAGATAAATTTTTATCTTATTTAATGATTTATCTAACACTTCAAATAAGTCTAGATAATAATATTATAATATATATTTATTTAATATTAAATATATATATATGATATTATACTCGTAACTTTGCCTTGAATTCTCTTCATGATGTTCATTTTAAATTTATTTCTTAGGAACAAATTAAATTCAAAGTTTGGATTTTTTTTTTTTTTTTTTTTTGGGGTGGGTGGGGCTGTGGGCGCTTCTCAAGTTGGAATCTTGAACAGTATAATTTTCTGCTCAAGTAATCCCATCAAGCTTACAGATGCCGCTGCGCAGATTTCACCCTAACAAGGCCCTTGGAAAATTGCCCATTATCAATTTGATTGAATTGGGCCCGAAGGAATTGTACCATGGTAACCATACCACTTTAGGAATAGGAAGCCACAATATCACTCTCTCCAATCACATTACTACCCTTCTAAAATGGGGACTTCATCTTTCCCATGGAAGATTTCAAGTAGGACGTTTCTAACCGAAAGAAATACAGTAATTAATCTAAACTTTAATTTCTGGGAAGGGAAGAAAAAGTAATCAATCTTAGATTTTTTTTTCCCCCTTTTTATTAAATCCATAATCAATTAAGAAATTCCCAAAATCCTTTACACTCTATTGGAATTGGGGAAGTTGAAAGGGAAGAGAGGAGAGTGAGGAGAAGAGAGCAGTTTCAGTTTCAATTATTTGGATAAATAATTTTAATCGAAAGGAGGGAGATGGAGGGAGTCGGAATCCCTTCCCCTCCCTTGTTTTTAATCTTTTCAATTTGAAAAAGTTGGAACAGAGTACATTACTTAACTTATTTTTATTTTTATTTTTTTAAATAAATATATATAAACATTTTATTTCAACTATTTATTTAATTAACAAATTTTAAACATTTTATTCTTGTTTATTTTTTTATTAAATTATTTAATTAAATAAAAATATTATATTTTCCTCTTCTTTACTTATGTTTATCCAAACAAAACTAATATCAACATTTTCCTTTCCTTCACTTCTCCTCCCCTCTCCTCTCCTCCCTCTCCTTTCTTTTACTAATTTTTATTCAAACATAGGTTTAGGATCTTTACCATTGATTATCCCTAATTTTTCTTTAATCTTAAAGAACTTAAGCAAATCAGAAAACTCAAGAATCTTCTCGAATATTCTCAAAAAAGGGTAAGTCTGTTGACTTATCCAAACAAGAATAGGCGTTGGTCGGTTATTAGACCAAATCACACCAAAAAAGAAAGAAAAAAAAGCATTTTCGAATGAACTAATGAAGCTGCTGAAAGAACTGGAGCTATTATTTTGATCGTGGGATGATTTTCTAGGCAGGAGGAGATTTTCAAGGGAAATTCTGTCTCGGATCTGTTTCCTCTTACACGGATGACAGATCCAACCCAAGGTAGTGAGGTTTATGAAAAAAAAGTCCCTAACGTTTCAGAAATTACATAATCATTTTTCACATGTTAAGGGTTGTCTTTAATGTAGCTTTCGGCCATTAATCATTAAGTTATAAAAAAAAAAGTTTGACTTTAATTTTATTCCACTATATAAGCCTCCCTTTCAACTGAGATTTAATTAGGTCTTGAGGCAATTATGTTCTTGTGTTTTTAAACTGTTTCAACCTTTAAGACAGTGTTTGCTATACTTTCTCTCTGGAAATATATCTTTTAAAATTTTACTCTTTTTATTTTAAATAATAATATTTTTTTATCTTAAATTAATTATTATTTTTTTAATTTTTAAAGTAGATAATTTTTTTTACTTTAACCTTATAATTATCTATTCATTTTAATTAATTATCTAATCATAGAAAGGTTTTTTTTTTATTTTTTTATTTATTTTTAAGAGTATTATAGATAAATATAAATATTGTTTTTGAATCCTTAATTTAAGAGAAAAAAATTAAAAAATTATTTTAAAGGAAAAGGAGTATAAAGATTATTTAGTATTTACATAAGTTAAAATTATAAGAAATAAAGAGCAAGGCAAAAATAGTATTTTAATTTTTTAACACTATTTTTAACTGACAAACTTCTTTTTCTATATGGACCATGATGTGTGCACACCCGGATCCCACACCCGGATGTGCACACACCACATAAAAAAAAAAAAAATGGAACGGGTATGGATCTTTTTTTTTTTTTATGGGGTGTGTGCACACCCGGATCCCATACCCGGGTGTGCACACATCTTTATCCTTTCTATATACTCTTTATAAAAAAGTTTTTCCTCAATTTCTTTCGTTTAAAACTTATTTAACAACTTTAATACTAATTTTTTTATGTTGATTTTTTACTAAACACAAAAAAATAATAACAAAAAAACAATTTAACAAAATTTCAATCAAATTTCATTATAAAATTTATCAAACTTCTTATATAATACATTTAAACATTTTATACAACACCTTTTAGTATTTTATAGAATATTTTTTCAATTACTTTCTCGTAAAAACGTCCAGCCCACATGCACCGAAGGTTTTTTTCTTTTTTTTTTTTGAATAAATCGGTAAGGAACGGATTCAAATCATTATTCAAGAGAAAAAAAAAAGCATTTTAAACGTTATTTGATGTTATTAAACCTGAAGGTTCAAGGTTGAAGTGCACTTGAAGGTTTTCTTTTTAACGTACGTAACAGACTAAAAGTGCATTTTTCACTTTAATTTTAAGGAGTTGTAATTATGATCGATTTGTTTGCGAGCCAGATCCAACAATAGATCTCAATCAAGTGGAGAGCAGATAAGCTATTAGCCTATTAGGGGTTAATGCCAAAAACCTTCTACTTTCAAGTCACCTCATGTCATCCCTCTACTATGAATTAACTACATATGTCCTCCCTCTACTATTGAAAAATGTATTGATGTCATCCCTCCGTACAACTTCCGTCCAATTTTAGGTTAACAGACAGTTTGTTCATCGTTAATTTTAACTTGTCCAGACATTCAATTCCTTTTTTATTCTTTTTTTACACCTGGGATTTGTAGGCCCCACCAATCCCACATTAGATTCTTCTGAAATATCTTTGCCGGCACTGTGCAAGCATCAAAATCCTCAAAGTTTTTCCCTCCTTCTCTTCGATCTCATTCTTCCGTCTCTTCAATCTCATTCGCTCTTTGCCCTTTTCCGAGAAACCCAGAAGGAATCCATCAACCCCATCAATAATCAACCATGCCTGCATTACCAAAATCTCTTGTCGACACTGTGCAAGCTTTAAAATACCTAAATTTTTTTCTTCTCTTCTTTGTCGACATTGTGCAAGCATCAAAATCCAAAGTATTCAATACCGTACCGACATGTGTACCGATTTTGTTATTGGAACGATACATATCGGATATCGAAATTTTTCGCGTACCATTTCGGATTTATCGTTATAAAAAAAATTTATGAAAAATTTGGGGGAGAAGTTGAAGAAAAAAAAAAGAAAAGGACTAAATTGAAAAAATTAAAAAGCTGAGGATGAAATTTATTAAAACAAACCATAAGCCCAGTCCAATATTGAGCAGCCCATCAAAACCCTAATTTCCTCTCTTTTAAAGGGAGAAGGAGAGGTGCGGCTGCCAAAGCAGCCAAACCCAAAAAAAAAAGAAAAAAAAAGAGGAGAAAACAGAAAAAAAAACCTTGATTTTTCTCCTTTCTGTAGATCCACCATCGCCACCAACACCTCCGTTCTTTCACCTCGGATCTTCACAATCCCCTTGCTGATTTGGCTTTGTTTTTTGTTTTGTGTGGGTTTTTTTGGTTTGTTTGTTTATATGTTGCTTTGTTTTGTTTGTTTGTTGTTTCTTGCTCTGTTTGGTGTAGATTCGGCGGCCTTCTTTCTCTTCCGACAGATCTGTTGTGGCGCGCGCGAGGGCTGCCAGATCTGACGCCCATCGCGACGCTCCTACTGGTTCCGAGGGACTATGGCCGCCTGATCGGGTTACCGCCTGGGTATCCTGCGGTCCTGCCGCCACCCCCCA